CGTTAAATTTACTCCCCGCATTATTTATTTCTCGAATTCATAATATCATAGTTACATGGTAAGGAAGAGAGTAAAAGGAAGAAGGGTGATGCCGTGCCATTTCATTTACATTTTCATGATTACATGGTGAGGAAGAGAGTAAAAGCACGAAGGGGCTGTCCCATTTCATTCATGTTATTACTACAAGGTGAGGATGAGAGTAAAAGCACGAAGGGTAATGCAGTGCCATTATATTCATATTATTGCATGGTGAGAACGAGAGTAAAATCATAAAGGGTGATGCCGTGCCATTTTCATATCATTGGTTTATCTGATTTCATCGGTTGATGTTTTACTTGACTATTTCGTGATTTCATACTTGTCGCAGCTGTAATATTTGCCCCCTTTTGCGTGTCCCCTCCCAGTTTGTACATCATCGCTATCTGTTATTGTTGTTGCTTTATATACACTTGTACAGATTTATCTATGTAGGTGTCTTGTCATAGTCTCGTCACTACCTCGTTGAGGTTAGGCTCAACACTTACGGAGCACATTGGGTCGGTTGTACGCATACTAAACTTCTATACTTCTTGTGCAGATACTATATTGATCCCTGCGGCCCGTGAGGTGCATCATCTTGGATCTTTGCATATGGAGACTCGAGGTAGATCTGCTGGCGTCCACAGACATTGAAGTCCCCTTCCTTTATCCACTTTTGCGGTTCATTTCCTTCGAAATAGTTGTATTTATTTCAGACTTTGTTTGTAGACTTCTAGTTGCTCGTGTACTCGTGGCTCCGGATTTCTGGGAGTAGATATTATCACGTGACTTATATTAGTACTGTGTTAGATTGGGTTTGTATGTCTCATTGTGTATCATCATTGTGTTTTTAACTATTAACAAATTGGCTATTTAATTATCTCACGTCAGCTTGCCTAGCAAGTGGAAGTTAGGTGCCATCACGACCCTGAGGTTGGGATTCCTGGTCGTGATAGCTATTTCGAAAGTTACGGAGGTCAAATTTAGACATCAACTGACATTCATAGAATATCAATGACAACCTCACACACACATTGACACATAACTCACTTAGGACTGGAACTATCCCGACTCTCTAGTCAAAGCAGTTAAGTAAGGCCGAGAGCAAACAAATTAAGGCACCTATACACGAGTCAAGAACTGGGCCTAGGCGTCATAACTAAGGCACTCACCACTCTCAAGGAATATGTAAAGTCAAGAATAGTTATCTCGATTTAACACTATAGCACAAGACTTCTCTATTCCTAACAATAGAAAAACTAACTACACCCGATTCAAGCAAAACACTTGGAAATGAACAGCGACACAAAGAAAACTAATGGGGAATTGTTACAGTACCTAAGAAAAAAAATAAAAGATATGTTTTTTCTTCGACTTTGATCCCTCAAGAAGACAGTCGAGGAAATCCATCATCGGAAAAAGCCAAATATTTTTTTTCTAAAATAATACTAACGAAAACACACACAAAGATAAAAGAAGTAAAAAAAAAAAAACAGATATACATATACATATTTATCTCCCTCACTCCACACTTTAAATTATGGCATGTCCCCATGACACACAAATAAAAAGCAAGAGGTAAAGGAAACTCCTCTGAATCATCTAGTCTGGGTCTGAATCGAAGTCGGGATCCACTTTGCACGCCCGACCTAATGCACACATCCTTGATGAAAGTTTCTTTTCTATATTCTTTGGGTACACCCCACAGTTGTTATACCTACCCCCTCTAGCTCGCTCTTTTAGGCCCTCTGCCTTGAATTCAGAGTGTGCCGTCGACACATCTCTAGGTGCCCTTATTGCTTTCTTCATATTGAACACGCTCTCCCTTCCCCCACTGTTGGCATGAGCTTCCTTTACTGAATATCCGTAATAGCTCTGCTAGTAGCCAAGAAACATCTCCCTAAAATCAGAGGGACCTCCTTATTCGCTTCCATGTTCACCACGATGAAGTCCACAATGAACGCAAATTTGTCTACTCGAACTAGCACGTCCTCCACTATTCTTTCAGGTATTGTTATGGTTTGATCCGCCAGCTGCTAAGACACATGTATCAATCTGATTGCTCCAATTTCTTTCTCAAGTTTCCTAAAAATAGACAAGGGCATAAGATTAATAGAAGTACCCGAATCACACAATGACTTTCAAATTTAGTACTCCCTAGAGAACAAGGTATAGTAAAACTCATCGAATCTCCACACTTTCGTGGGAGCTTATTTTTTTGAATAGGACTACAATACTCTGTGAGCCTAACTACCGATGTCTCTTCCACTTTTCACTTGTTGCACAATATCTCCTTCAAGAACTTGGCATATGTCGGCATCTGTGAAAGTACCTCTGTGAAAGGCAGATTAACATGCACCTTCTTGAGTAATTCTACAAAAGCTCCCAAATTGTTTCTCCAGCTTCTCTCTTCTTTGCTTCTGGGGGAAAGGTAAAGCAGGCATATATCTACTTTTCTCAGTCTCCTCATTCATTGAATTCTCATCCTTCTTCTTTTTAAAGCTCTAGTCCCCCCTTGTTCTTGAGACCATCAACTGGATCTACCCTCACTTCACCTTCTTGATTGTCATTAGTTTTTTTCTCCTCTAAAATCTCCACTCATATTTCAATCAACTCACCCTTTTGTTTTGCGATGGGATCTTTTAGTACTTGGCCACTTCTCAAAGACACCACATTTATTGTTTCTTTTGGGTTCCTTTCGGTATTAGCAGGGAGAGTTCTTGGAGCCCTCTTAGATAATAGATTAGCAAGTTTTCCCATCTATCTTTCCAAGTTCTGGATGGATGTGCCCTGTTCCCGAATAGATGTGCAATGAGTTTCAAGTGTCTCACCTGTCTTAATTATAAAGGCTATATTAGATCTTTCATGCTAGATGATTGGTCTATTAAGGGTGGTACTGCTGTATCTGCCGATTCATAAAATCTGGAGCTCCTTGTCCTTGTTTGGGATTATTCGGTTGCCATACATTCAGACTACCACCGGGTGAACTCCACAAAAATCTTGGGTGCTTATGACCCATAGAGTTTAAATTATTACTACTCTGGTAGTTGCCTCTGTCAAAGCTTCCCACAACACTTACCACTTCATCTATAGCTGAGGCCCGACACTCATGTGTTGGATGATCCATTCCACAGAAGTCACAAACTGATGATGGCTGGCTCTAGGCCCTTGCTAAGGTTAACTTTCTTATTTCTATTGCCATGAAGTCTAGCTGAGCTTGCACTGATGTGTTAGAGTCCACCTCGTAAACCCCATATGATTTTCTTCTTTCATTACTCTCAAAGGGCCATTGGTTAGCATCATCAGACCATTCATCAAGGATATAGACAATCTCCTCTGAGATTTTCTTCATTAATGGACCTCCAACTGCATTACTCAGAGTGTTAGTCCATTCCAAAAGTCTTGGAGTTGCATCAACAATTCGATTCCATTATGATGACACATTCTCATTATCTCTTAAATCTTTCCAAAGCTTCGAAGACCGTTTCAGTGTCCTTATGGCAGAAGTTGTGGATTTCTATTCTAATTTCAATGTTTTTGCAGATGAGAAGTACTTATCAAGAAATATTTTCATCATATCTTCCCATGTCCCGATCGACCCAGTTAGTTAGCATCGAAGCCAGTGCTTCGCATCATCCTTCATTGAAAAGGCAAATGCCCTTAAGCAGACTGCATCTTTTGATACTCCATTGTACTTGAAGGTGTTCATAATTTCCTCAAAGTCCATCAAGTGAGTGTTAGGATCTTCATTCACCTTCCCTCTAAAGACACAGTTGTTCTGGATGGTTTGAAGCAAGCCTTGCTTCAACTCAAAATTATTTGCTGCTATGGGTGGAGGTCTGACACTTAACAGTCTCTGATTGTAAACTGGTTAGGCATAGTCACCCAATGATCTGCCTGCTTTGGGACCCACATTTTTGTATGCATCTTCAACCACGGTTAGATTTTGATTAAATCTTCGACCCCCATCCCCATCCACAGTCTCATCAGTAGCTCTAAGGGCTGCTTCAGCCGCTATCCGTGCAACTTGCTCTCTATGTTGTGTTGCCTCCTTTGCAGCTAAGTCTACCCCCATCATCTTCGATGTTTGCTATTTTATGTTGAGTCAAATTCTGACCCAAGAAGGATCCACTTGATTCTTTCTCCTTTCTCAACTATCGCAGGTGCTTGTCTAACTCTGGGTTGTATGACACTAATTCCTTGGAAGAGGATCGTGTCATACATCACCTAACTTAACATGTTGCCTGCACAGAGATGATAGAATGAATATTAAAAAAATAAATTCTTGATCTAGCATCAAAAACTATTTTGAACACTATTGATTGCCAATCTCCGACAACAACACCAAAATTTGACGAGCGCAAAACACAACATGAAATTGATGCTCGCTAGCCAAAGATAGTAGAGTTTAATTGTCGACTCCACAAAGATTGGATTTAACTAATATTCAAGTAATTTCTGACTGAAATGCTATTCAGGATGATTAACACTTTGGTTGGGATGATTATGAACTAAAGCTAACTATTAAATCTAAGCAATTAACAATTGATCACAGAAAGATAAAAGTTGAGCAACATTGAAATAATCAATAAAGTTTCTTTTTCCTATTTGAACGAGAAATACACAGAGTATTGCTCCAGTTCATTGCAATCCATCACAGCCAGATTTTTGTTAACTTCAAGGGCTACCATCTAGGTTCTATTGTTCCTCTCTTGTCTTGATATTTTAATAGTTTGATATTTTAGTATAATTGTTTCTCCTTGCCTGCTTATTTTGTTCTTGAATCATTAGTTAGTATTTTCCCTAGCATTGTCAAATTAATTGCATTAGTGATAGCTTTGCCTACTTGTTTATATTGTTATCTATCTGTTTACATCTTTATTTTGAATCTTTATTTAAAATATCCCCTAGTAGCTCTGTTCTAGTTTTGCACGTTTTCTTTGTGATCTTTAGACGCTAGATTATAGTGGATTTGGTGAACGATGGCAGGGTAAGGTCTTGTCCTCGGGGGTGTCAGTGCGGGGGGTAAGGGCGGTAATAGGGCTAAGGGTGCTACTAGGATGAGAGTGGGGTCTTGGAACATAGGAACTTTGACTGAAAAATCTGTAGAGTTAGCGAAGATTCTCGAGAAAAGGAAGATTAATATAGCTTGTGTACAAGAGACTAGGTGGGTAGGAGATAAGGCGCGGGATGTGGGCAGTTTCAAACTTTGGTATTCTGGGTGGGTGGGGGCAGGAACGGGGTAGGTATCTTGGTTGATAAGGACCTCCGTGAACTAGTTGTGGAGGTTAGGAGGGTGAATGACAGGCTGATGACTATTAAGCTAGTTATTGGAGGTTTAACTTTGAACATAATCAATGCGTACGCACCCCAAGCAAGCTTGGATGAGGAAGTCAAGAGGCGATTCTGGGAGGATTTGAATGAGATGGTGCGTGGTATCCCACATACCGAGAAGCTTTTCATATGAGGAGATTCCAACGGCCACATTGGAGTGACGTCTGGGGGGTATGATTATGTTCAGGGTGGCTTTGGTTTTGGAGATAGAATTGGAGGAGGAACATCTCTGTTGGACTTTGCTAGAGCATTTGATTTGGTGATAGCAAACTCGAGTTTCCCAAAGAAGAGGGAGCACTTGGTCACTTTCTGGAGTTCGGTGGCCGAGACCCAGATTGATTATTTACTCTGTAGGAAGTCCGATAGAGGTCTTTGCACGGATTGCAAGGTCATTCTGAGTGAGAACCTCTCGACCCTTCATAGGCTCCGGGTCATGGACCTTGAGATCATGAGGAAAAAGAGGAAGAGGAGGAAGAAGGCGACGTATAGACAATATAGGATAAATTGGGGAGCCTTGACGGAAGCTAAAGCGCAGGAGTTGGGGGTCAAGCTGGTGACTATGGGGGCTTGGAGTAGTAGTGGGGACGCAAGCGCTATGTTGACCATGACTATACAGTGTATTAGGGAAGCCGCGAGAGAGGTATTAAGGGTCTCAAAGGGTTACTCTGGTGGTCACAAGGGAGACTGGTGGTAGAATGGAGAGGTACAAGGAAAAGTGAAAACCAAGAAAGCAGTGTATCTGAAGCTAGTGGAAAGTGTAGACGAGGAGGAGAAGAGGGCAAATATGGAGCATTATAAGTTGGCTAAGAAAGAGGCAAACCTAGCAGTTATGGCGGCCAAGACTGCAACTTTTAGTCATTTGTATGAGGAACTCGAGGGCCGAGGTAGGGATAAGAGGTTGTTCAGGTTAGCCAAGGCACGAGAAAGGAAGGCGCGTGACTTGAACCAAGTAAAGTGCATCAAGGACGAATAAGGTAGAGTTTTGTTGGATGAGGGGCTTATCCGTCGGAAATGGCAGACCTACTTCCATAGTATCTTGAACGAGGAGGGTACCATGAGCATTGTACTGGTTATTTGGAACTCTCCTGGAGTCATTGTGACTTTGGGTATTGTATGCAGATTAGAGTTGATGAAGTTGAGGGGGCTATTAGATCGCTCATGTCCAGAAGATGAAGGTAGCATAGATGAGGATGTTCACATAGTATGCGAGCACACCAGGTTAGATATGATTAGAAATGAGGTTATTCGCGACAAGGTGGGTGTGGACCCTATTGAGGACAAGATGCGGGAAGCGCGGCTTAGGTGGTTTGGTTATGTGAGAAGGAGGAGCACAGACGCCCCGGTGAGGAGGTGTGATAGGTTGACATTAGAGGGCCTACGAAGAGGTAGAGTTAGGCCAAAGAAGAGGTGGAGAGAGGTGATTAGGCAAGACATGGCACAGCTTCAGCTGAACGAGGACATGACCCTTGATAGGAAGGTATGGAAGTCGAGGATTAGGGTAGTAGAGTAGGTAGTCTAGAGTGTTCATAACAGTAGTATTGGCATGCAGTCTCGCTTTCTGTTGGTAGTAGATTTTTATGACTAACCATTGGTTTCTTTCATTAGTGATCACCTTACTGTTTTGTTATTTTTATTCTGCTTTTATATGGCTTTTTGGCACTGTCCCTTCTTGTCTATATTTTCATTAATGTGGTGCTTATGTTTTTCTAAGCCGAGGGTCTATTGGAAATAACCTCTCTATCCTCACAAGGTAGGGGTAAGGTCTGTGTACATATTACCCTCCCCAGAACCTACCATGTGGGATAATACTGGGTATGTTATTTTTGTTGTTGCCTTGTTAGTCATCCTACATCCAGGAACTCGGTCCTTCTTTTGTTGCTTTCCTTTATCAGAATTGTTCCTTTTCTACTCTAGTTCCCACAGGGGACAATATTTGATGAAGTGGTCTTTCTTTCAACACTTGTAGCAACCATCAACGTTGTTATTATTGGTCTTCTCCATAGTCTTGGATTTTGATGAGCTACCCTTCTTCAAGTTATATTAAAACGTCGAGTCAGCAATGCCATATCATCTTCTTCAGCATCGTTTTTGTGGGTTGTCTTAAGCACCGGGTTCTTTGTCTCGCGAGGTTTAGCAGCTTGTCGATCTGTGATCCTGATTGAGCTTCAACTCATAGGTTTCCAGATTTCCAATAAGATTATCAAGAATCATTGTATTTACATTCCTTGCTTTAATAATTGCATTTACTTTGTTGTCCCATGCAGAAGGCAGTATGCTCAGAATTTTACTCACAATTATATTGCGGAAAATAATTTCTCCAATAGATATTAGTTCATAGATAATTGAAGTGAGCCAGGTATGCATCTCCAGGATAGTTTCCCTCTCTTTCATCTTGAATAGTTAACATTGCCTAGTTAGCATGTCAATCTTTGACTGCTTCACTTGAGAGGTACCTTCATGAGCACACTGCAGGGCATCCCATATAGCTTTTGCATCTCTGTAGGCAGATATTTTGTTTTATTCATCAGGGTCAATTCCACAAATTAGAATCTTCTTAGTTTTTGCATTCTTTTGAACTCCTTTGACATCTTCCTCAGAGTATTTTTCTATTGGCTTTGGTCTAGTAGGGTCACCCTTGTCATCAAACATCATTGAGATTTTTTGTCCCTTTTCAACAATGTCCCAGAGTTTTAGTTCTTCTCCTTTCGGGAAATCACGCATTTGTTTCTTCCACCATCCATAGTATTTTTCATTTAACAGTGGTGGCCTAACAGCTGATTATACTTCTTGAGTATATTGTGGTACAACTATTGTAGATCCTTTCAAGGTGTTAGCCTATTATAAAAGAACATGCTCTTATACTAATTGTTAATTTAGACTATACTTAGAAATAAGAAAAGGGGTTGAATTGTGTCTTGCCTGATTTTCATGTTTTCAAAGAACCTGATTCTTTGAACTAGTTCAACACATTCAAAAAAGAATATTTGTGGAAAAGTAATTAACACATAGATTTTTACGTAAAAAACCTCCTTGCTCAAGGGAGTAAAAACCATGACCTACCTAGTAGGATTTTTCTCAAATCTCTACTAACTTCAAACAACAATTTTTAAGTTGCAACTCAATAACCAAGTGAACTAACTCTAGTACCCTAACGCCTATAATCAACTCAATTAACCCTACCATAGAAAGAAATGCTATGTCTCAATAATAACCTATTACAAAACTACTATGAAATCAGAGAGGTTACAAATCAGAACAAAATGACTCAACCTAACAACTAAAGAACTCGAGTAGCTTCATCTTCAAGAACATGTTCTGCAGTTGATTTAGTTGGATCTTCGAAAGTACCTTACTGCTTCTCTAGCTATTGTTAGAATTATTCTCACAATTTCTCTCAATAGTCATAGTCTTGAATTGTGGCAAAAAGTCTTCTTTTATAGGTGCACGGTTGGCCGAAATTCTTCTTCAATCAATGCTTCAAAACCTAAAATATTTTGGTTAAGGAAATCCTTTCCTGTTGAGGCTAGGTTTCTCTATTTAATTCCAACTTGGATCCTTCTTGCTTCCAACGAGTATTTTCCATATATACATACTCCTTTTATTACAAGAAGTCCTCCAAACGTGTATTCCTTTTTGGACATGGACAGGATCTTCTAGGAATCCCTACTCGCACGGGACTGCTGGTCTTCCACATCTGACTTGGTGACTTTAGCTAGCCTGATTTAAACCTATCTCTTTTGACGTTCAACACACTCACTCTGTCACATCTTCACAGCAGTCTTGCAACATGCTAGACCAGACTTTGAAACCTGGTTCTTATCACAGTTTGTTATTCATCAAAACATAATTTCATACTCGGCTTAACAATTCATATATCAGAATATGAAAGGCTTAACTTTAATAGCGAATACTTTTTCACCAGATCCATAAAGCAAAAGAAAAGGATGGCTAGAGAGGAATATTTGTTTGGTCTAAATGATGCAACCTGTGTGTCGTATACATCAAAGCCAGATCCAAGATTTATATTATGTGGGCTAAATCTTTAAGGTTCTTATCATTGAACTCATTATACTTTTAAAGTTATTGTCACGACCCAAAATCCCTCTGCATGAGTCATGATGGCGCCTAGTCCCTAGGACTAGGTAAGCCTAACACATAGAGAGTTATTAATAGATTAAACGAATCAACCATTTAACATGGACCAGTAATTGCTATACAAATCCAACAATCATCAATAGATGTACAATATCCCAAAACCGGTAGTACATGTAATAAAGCTTTTCTAAGAATAACTAAGAATATCAAATACATCACTGTTTGGAATAGAAGTAAACAGTAATAATGTAAAACTCCAGAAGGTGACTTCGAGGCCTACAAATGCAATGGCGGGTATACCTTGAAGTCTTCACCGCAACTCACAATCAGCTAACTAATGATCAGCGCGCTCCGAGGTACCTGGATATGTACAAAAATGTGCAGCAAGCGTAGCATGTTTACACCACAGCAGTACCTAGTAAGTATCAAGACTAACCTCGGTAAAGTAGTGACGAGGTATAACCAAGACACCTACTAAACATAATAACCTATACAAGTATTGATATAAAACTAACAGAGGAATGAATATCAATATAAAGCTAAACATGGAAATAATTAATGATATAACACTAGCAGATGGAAAGTAGAAGCAACAAATAGAATCAAGGAGTAAACAGGTACTAACGCCGTAAAGTAATCAGAACACAGTTAGAGTCCCAGTGAAACCAAGTCTGAAAAAATAAGTAACAACCAAATAATCAATTGTTCTTACACCAAGTTTACGCAAGAATCACCCCGAGGTACCACACCTCATAATCACAATAACGGATCCGGAATCACGAATCATAATCACTTGGCATCTCATGCCCGTATTACCATCACAACCACATGGACAGCTCACGTGCTGCACGAACAACTCATGTGTTGCACGGACAACTCACGTGCTGCACGAACAACTCACGTGCCAATACCATTGGTACCAAGATCTACACGGACAACTCACGTACCAATAGTAATAATACCTCATATCCGCACGGACAACTCACGTGCTAATAGTCCAAACCATGCACAGAAGGTAGGTATACAAGAATACATGTACATGATCAATAAACATCAACATTCATACTCCTGAACTGATATAGGTGACATGCTACAGTGTATGCTTGTGCAAGTCTACTATCACAGCTCAAGTCAATAGGTAAAATCAGAGACACCGTGTAGCACATTGTAAACAACACAACAAAAATATGTAATAGGCATGACTCACACAAGATAGTCGCACCACCACACAAATATAATAACTGGCAATGCCCCCAGGCCATCACAAAGCATCCCCGACATAGCCCCCTTGTCTTGCCGCATGCGCAACAATAAAGTAGATGCCCGCCTTGTCTCGCCAAATGCGCATAATAATTATCCTACCCTGTTTCGCCATTTGCGCAAACGCAACAAATATAGCCTGCCTTGTCACGCCGTATGTGCAAATATCAATAATAATAATAGCACGGATAACTCACTTACAAACAACCCGACAATCCTCTCAATAATACTTTATATGCCAAATACATAACAACACAATATAACAACTCGTACCACATGTACTCATATACGACAACGTTCTATAACAACAAATTCAATTACCATAACCACACGTAACCT